AAATGTGATTACCGGTTTTTCAAACAAAGACGTCAGCACAACAGGCGAGTAACGACAGAAGGAAAATATGGAAAGATATACAAATTCCTCGACATAGTACAAAGCATTTAAACTCCTCTTTTTCCAATAGCCTAGGAATATAATAAGTACGCAATTGCACATAAGTCATTATGCGTATAATAGACATCTACCGAGTAGCCGGAGAGTCCGCGACGCAACAAGATAATTTACTCTTCTTTCTTTTAATATTATACTCGATAATATTTTAGGATTATTATAATAATAATACTTTTAATCCTCTGCACTCTAAATCTTATTTTCTTTATGCAATTAAATTTATATCGAAAATTTAAAATATTTGAAGTATTTTAAAATTAATAATAATAATTTAAAATTACATTTTAAAAAAATAGAGGAAATGTATAAGAGAGAATACTGTTAATATTCTTTTAATCATTTCTTTTTTTCTCTCTCTCTTTTTCTTATTATCCTAATTTTTTATTTGGAAATTAAGTGCAAAGGATTCCAACAGATCATATACACAATTAATCTAAAAAGGAATTTTTAAAGAATTTTTTTTGTTAAACATAAACGCAATACTAAAGATCCGTAAGAAAAATATTCTTACAATTTTTTATGAGACTGTAAAGGCTGACGTTTTATAGATTACTTGAAATAGTGCAAGGTCCTTACATTGCGACCGATCAGATATTAGCAAAATATATATACTTTTATAATAGATTAGCCAAATTGTGAATGACGAATATTTTATATAAACCAAATAGAACTTTGAGAATTAATTTCAATGCAGCTTAATAAGAATAAGATTTATCTTAAGTTTGTGAAAACTTAAAGTTTTGGGAATGATATCTCAAACTAAATTGTATTTTCTTCGTTTCCAAAATGTATTTATTAAACATCTTGATTTCTCCATATATTTTTACTATTTAATCATAACAAACCGTATATTTAAAATGCGTATATAGATACTGCCACAATTGCGGTTATTAATAGCTTCAAATTAAAAAAAAAAACAAGAAGCATTTAATATTGACATAACATCAATGAACAATGTTTTTACGAACGAAATTCATTCATTATTCATTTTTGAATCTAAGATTGTGTTTTTGGTTGTGGATTTTCCGGACATCCGATAGATAATAAAAGAGGAAGAAAGGGAAATTATTAAGTCGAATTTATAAATTTATTTTACTTGGATATATGTAGAAGTTATCTTTTGTTCGGATCTACCATATTCCTTTTCTTTATTTATTATTCCTTTTGTTCATTCCTCATCGAAATATTTGTACCGCAGTCTTCCAGGGTACAAAGGAAAGAATAAAATAATACCATTCGTCATTAATCAAAAAGTAAGAGAACAGATGAAAATTAAAAAGAACAAAAGAGAAGAAAAGAAAGAAAAAGAAAAATAGAAAAAAAAAAATAAAAGAAATTATGTATAGCTATGCAAACTCTCTGATGATCTCAGCGTTTTATTTTTGTATAGAATGCATAAGAAACATGTATCTAATCTTCAAGAATGTAAGAACGAAGAAAGAGATACGCAGTTTGAGACAAATGAAAAGAGCAAAACATATGTAGTAGATGAGAAAGGGAAGCGTATAAATGAGGAATGTAGATATAAAAAAATACAGACAGACGAATTTAGGTTGCGAGAATAGAAGTTTAAAGTTTGTGAACGTTTTTTCGGACATTTCCCAATGCTGCTTTATGTAATATCCTATATATAATATATATCTATATATATATATATATATATTAATTG